ATGTATGGCTCTTTCCACCAGATTCGATAGCGCAGATCCGTTTTGAAGGCTTTAATAGTGATATTACGTACCACGCTGGAACGGTAGCATACGGATCAGTAGCTTTCTGGTATTAGCGGAACTCATGCAGAGCTACTGCTCCCGGACATTAGCAGAGAGATTTTTCACGTGATGCGTTTTGGCAGCTGCTTTGTAAAGAGCATTTCTTCAGCATCCTTTCCAGCGGTCTGCTTCATACGGGTCATCGATGAATTTTCCTATCTGAAAAAAATCAAAGAATTTAGTGTTTATGAGGTTCTTGAACCTACAGTCCAACATTCTGTCGGTTACCTGAAGATATGTTTTTTCCTCCACGCATGCTGCTCCAACCATGACCATTCGCGCTTCAAAACAAAACGATAAACGTAAAAATTGAATGTTTTACGTTGAGCGCATGTAAATTTATATCATTAATGGTGGAAGATTGGATGTGTCGCGGTAAATTAAAGTGTTTTTCAGTGAAATTGAAACCTCTCAAGTAAAATTAAACTAAAATGAACCCACTTTTAACCGTATTTTTATAAATTACGTCTTTTAAAATGGAAAATTGTGTGTGATATTGTTTTGCATTAGAATTTATTCAGTTACTTTTGAAATCAAATCACGATTAATTTTCATACATTTTTACTGCGTAGTAGTTTTTTTTTTTGGAAATAAGTTTCAGTTAGTAATTTTTATGAAGAGCTCTTCATAAAGGGATTCCGTTAAGAGGTTCGACAAATTTAAAGGAGTAATTTTTAGTTTGTTAACATTTTATTTCAAGTTAATTCACACACAGTGCTTAATGTCAATTCATATTAACAGATTCTTCGCTTTCGTGGTAGTTCGGAAATCGGTGGTTCCCCTTTCAGCCAACCTGACGATGGAATTCCTCCTTTAAATTTACGCCCAACTAGTGACGCAAGGTCTTTAGCAGCTTCCAGATCTTTTTGGTAGTCTTGGGACTGCCAGAAGCAGCGCACATCCCCTAGCTGGTTCTCCAAATCAACATTCAACACTATTTCCCTTCCATATTTCTTGCCGTGGCTTCCCTTAATTTTTGCGTGAAGTGTCGTTTTCGGAATATTGTACCTTTTCTGTGCCTGATACGCGGTAGGTGATTTATTTCTTACTAAAAGAACAGCCTCTTGAAGATTTTGGACTTTATAACTCTTTTCTTTAGCCATTTTTTCAATCTCGGCCGAAACGAAATCGAATTTCAAATCAGCTGCGCATGAAGGATGTAGACAAACCGAAGCGCACCTAGCGGCCGTCTTAGGAAACACATAGGTCCAACCATCATCATGCGTAGGTCCAACCATGATCATATTTATCTATTTGAATTTCGTCAATTATTCAAACATTTTAGTGAAACCAATGGATAAATGTCATACTAACGTGTTGTTTACACCTTAAACCAGTATTTTACTGCATGAAAAGAAAAATAAATGTAAAAAATATTCCTTTTTTGTACGTTTCAAAGTAAGGCATGCTGACGAGCTAATGCGTGGAAAGTGAACTGTTTTGAAAACACATTGAAACTCAATTGTTTTGAAGTTTTTTTTTTCAATAAAACACCCATACAAATTGAAGAAAAATAGTTTTTTTTTTTTATGATAGTAAAGTGATCTTTGAAAAAAAAAAAAAAAAATTAGCGTAGATTGACTAAACTAGTGATTGGAAAAATAGGTCCAACCATCATCAGTTTTTGGATAGGTCCAACCAGAGTCAATTACCCTACGTTTGTTCCGATCCGTTAGTTCATAAGCCACATTATAAAGCCTATTACAGCGCATTGTATGAATATTTACTCTCATGGTTATTAAAACAAAAGAAGCGCTCACAGCAAATCCCCTGGCAAATCCACTTTTTCTACCATCATTCGTACGACGAAGAAAAACTTAAGGCGTTTCAATGCGTTAGGACAGAATTGAAACTCGTAGGACAAATTTAGAATCAAGAAGCAGTGTTAGATTTCTTACAATATCTCAATAATTTGTGAGTCTTTATCAAATCCAACAGTACGTATAGAAAGGGGAATAAATTTAAAGGTTATCTTTGATGAAAATATTCCATGTTTTGTTCAAACCTTTCCAAAAAAAAAAGAGAGGTGAAGTGCGGGATGTGCTAAGTAGGACGGGAATTAGATCAAAAACCCTACCACTGATAATATCAAACCGAATATGCCTTTTTGACTGAATAAACTTCAATGCAGCCAAATATTGTTGCTAAGCTGTAAACGGTGCTCAGTTGCTAGTACCAGCTGTTTTATAAAAGAAATATTATAACCGTTAGATAATGTCATAGTTTTGAGTTACAAAACATAATTGTTTATTAATATCAAGTTTACTTCAATCTGTAACATACTTAGAACTCCAAGATGCAAGCTGCTTTTAGTTCAAAATAGTGTTTTAATAGGAGACTCATTCAAAATCGATAGCCTGAATGGCGATCGTTTTTCTTACTGAGCAGAAGATAGTAGAGCAGTTCCACGTCAAATGACGAATCGGTAAAACTCGGGGAAAAGTTTGGATTATCATTTTTTTTACATAGTACTTCTTCTTCACATTTCAAGCTTATTGCTTATCGCATATATTAGCAAATTGTGTGCTCTCAGCTTAGTGCTTTAGATGCACCTCCACAATTAATCATGGAGATCTTTCGATGCGTGTACCATTTGTGCATTAGTATAATTGTGTGACAAGTACAATCATACTCTATGCCCACGAAGGTCGTGAAATTTGCCAACCCAAAAAATGCCTAGACCGGACCTGGAATCGAACCCAGCCACCTCCAGCATGGTCTTGCTTTGTAGCTACACCTTAACTGATTGAGCTAAGGAAGATCCATAGTAGGTCATGATAAATTTTTGAAATTGTAGAATTGTGAGCAATGCCTCTTAACACACTTTTTTTTTTGATTAAGTCAATAATTTAGACACATTTCAATTAATTTCGTGATTTTGCCTTGCCGAAAAAAAGTTGGACATCTGCAGAATTGACCTCAAAGAAATCTGGCATCACTGCCGAGAATGTATCTCGTGGTCACCTTCGGTGCTGTCTAAAGGGTGATACGGTCAAAATTTGGTCAATATCAACTTGACGTATTTCTTTCAATTTTGCATTTAAAAAACCTGAACACCCCTCATTTTGAAGGTGTGTGTGTGTAGAATGTTGCTCCTATTTTGATTTTGGAATTCACTCTTCAGTTGTCAAAATGCCGTCCAAGCAAGAAGAGCAGCGTATCAAAATTTTGCTCGCGCATCGCGAAAATCCGAGCTACTCGCACGCAAAGTTGGCAAAATCGCTAAAAGTTGCCAAATCAACCGTTACAAATGTAATTAAAGTGTTTGGGGAACGTTTGTCGACAGCCAGGAAGTCTGGATCGGGGGGAAATCGAAAACCGGAAGCCGCTGAGACGACAAAGAGAGTTGCCGGTAGTTTCAAGCGAAACCCTAACCTCTCTCTCCGAGATGCCGCAAATAAGCTGGGTGTATCGTCTACAACCGTGCATCGAGCCAAAAAACGAGCCGGACTATCGACTTACAAGAAGGTAGTGACTCCAAATCGCGATGATAAACAAAATACGACGGCCAAAGCGCGATCCCGGAGGCTGTATACGACGATGCTGACGAAGTTTGACTGCGTGGTAATGGACGACGAAACCTACGTCAAAGCCGACTACAAGCAGCTTCCGGGACAGGAGTTTTATACGGCAAAAGGAAGGGGAAAGGTAGCAGATGTTTTCAAGCACATGAAACTGTCAAAGTTCGCAAAGAAATATCTGGTTTGGCAAGCCATCTGTACCTGTGGCTTGAAAAGCAGCATTTTCATAGCTTCCGGGACTGTCAACCAAGAAATTTACGTGAAAGAGTGTTTGAATAAACGTCTGCTGCCTTTCCTGAAGAAACACGGTTGTTCCGTACTGTTTTGGCCGGATTTGGCATCTTGCCATTACGGTAAAAAGGCCATGGAGTGGTACGCCGCCAACAACGTGCAGGTGGTTCCCAAGGACAAGAACCCTCCCAACACGCCAGATCTCCGCCCAATTGAGAAATACTGGGCTATTGTCAAGCGGAACCTAAAGAAGACCAAAAAAACTGCTAAGGGCGAGCAGCAGTTCAAGGCAAACTGGCTTTCTGCGGCGAAGCAGGTGGACAAGGTGGCTGTACAAAATCTGATGGCAGGGGTCAAGCGTAAGGCCCGGCAATTCGGATTTGGAAAAGCGGAAGCCTAACTGAATATTTTTCCTGAATTTTATACTAATTGAACTTGAAAAAGAAATTTAATTTGATTTTTTAAATAAACGATTTCACCGATTTACACGCGTTTTCCCTTGACCAAATTTTGACCGTATCACCCTTTATGCTATCGGAAATCACCATCGACCACATGCCAACTTATTGAACAAAAATGTGCATGGCCGTTGGGAGTGATTGGTTGCGGTTGGGTGGTCGTTTCTCCCTCCAACGCTTTCTCTCGTCTCTCCAACATTGATCAACCCATCCTACCAGCACCACCGAACCAATCAAATCAAACTGAACGTGGTGAGTCATTTTTAGGCATACCTACATATATGCTGTTTGTGCTACTTATGCTATAACATAGGTTCACGTGCTGCTATTCAGCAGTCGTATGTACTGCGACGACGCGGCGTTGACAAAGTTTTAGTATGGCCGAATGGCGCTCGTAGCCGTTGAAACCAACCGGCGGTGCTAAGAAGTATAAGAAAAAGTAGGAAGGAGGGAATAAAGCATAACACCAGACATTCGTGCAAAACAATGGCGGTAATTAATCATCAATTACATGCCGCTGTAATGGCGATTGATTGGACAGACACGGACCTGTTGAAACGGTCGGCCCGTGTATTTGCTCTGCTAGCTGTAAAATGTTGAGGGGAGGTAGGAGAAGAACGTAAAATGAGGTGTGAAACTTACGGTACAATTTGGTGTATGGAGTGAATTTTTTATGATAGATCGCAACACTTGCGGTTCACAGGCGATGAGATTTACTCAAAATTTAGAAAGATTTCACTCACTTTCGTAAGTAGTAATATTACTACTCAATTTTGTGTAACCCCACATTTTACAAACTGAATGAAATCCTACTGAACTTTGAGATAGTCAAAACGGCCTTGTTCATTTTTATTTTATGCTTAAGCCTTACTTATAGTTTGTTTTGAATTTGCTCCAATTGATGTTTCAGTCTTAAGGCTATGGGTTCCAATTTCTCTTTTATAGAAACGCAAATTCCTTGCTCTCGTACGGCAGGTCTTCGATAGAATCCACGCGAACAGCTCTCGCAAGACAGGCCCGTGTATCCGGATCGGCAATTGCATTTTTCAATGGTTGTAACTTTACCCAAACCGTGATCCTTGATATCAGCGCTATCCAAGACAATCTGGACCGGTTCATAGTTCATATATTGGTTATATTTTACGTAAAAATTGTTCACGTTCGACAATACAGTCAAAAACATCTCCCTGGAAACGGCACTGTTATTCAGCTGACGCCAGTTCTGCTCATTCATGTACACCAAATTTCTGCTTAGCTCTCCACTTATCCTGCTTATCACCTGCTCCCTTCTCTCAAAATAGACCAATGTCCGACTTTTACTCTGCAAGACCAGATCCGGCTTATCCTTATCAATGTCATTATCGATTGAGGGTAAATCCAGATACCCTCCGTATGACTTCAGTAGATTTCCATTCAGCTTTTCCGGGAGAATGTAGTACGTTGATAACTCCGATTCATGATCTTCGTTCGAGTATTCTTCCACCTTTGTTGCCGTTATATGCAATTCAACCATATCTTTTTCTGATATGCTAGCTGTTATCTACGGAAAGAAGTTAGACTTGTTAAAATTGAACACAACTCAAACGACGGAAATTCCAACCTTACTCCTGAAGAGATCATTCGCCATCGAACAATTATGAGTAATTCCTGAGCAAAAGCACTTTTCACTCTCCTGAGAAGCACTATCTTTCCACTCGATTCGCTGCTTGGCAGCCAACTCTTTCGAACACTCGGCAATCTTCACATTCACCGCCAGCAATATGTCCTGATGGTTTTTAGTGATTCCTCGGTATTCATACAGCCCTGCATCGGACCAATCCATATTGGTGCAGATTAGGGTGCTCCCTTCCGGGGACGTCTCCTTTTCGCACTTTTCCGAGACAGCTGTACCATTGAATCGCCAACTTAGTGCCGGATAATACCTGCTAATCACACTTAGTTTAAGGCGTTTCCCAAGTGGCACAACTGTGGTTAAAATTCTCGGCATGGTCGATTCCTCAGAATTGACTTCAAGTTCTGAAGAATATCCGATTAGGATAAGGATGACGATTCCCAGAAGATGGCTGGGTTGAACCATTTTGATCAGATGGAGCGGACTGATCAATTGCAATTCGATCGATCGATTCAGCCTCAAACAACTTAGTTTGAAATCTTTGCGATAACCTTTCCAGTGCCCCGGAATGCCTGGAGATAAGACCGAATTAGTTCGTTCGTAGTTCAGTATGTACACGCTTAGAAATTACTAATGACTTCCCGTTTCTTTTGTCTGATTCTTCGGGCGACTTGCATGTGTCGGTCGCAGGGCACTGACATTTATACTACTTTTTCATGGTGTGTAGCTATAACACAAGCAGTCTTACTACAGTAAACAACTGATAAGAGTGCCATTCATAAAACCGCATGCTCAGCTGTAAGTTTTAAGTGATTTAGAATGACAATTGTGAGACGATCATTTGCATTCGGGTTGCTAGTATTTGGCTGGACTTTATCGGTCACGCTCGCAGGTATCTTCAGATTCTATTAAGTTAGAAATTTTTCAACTTACTGATACGGGCATCTCTGCAGTGGATCGAACGCCTATCCGCTATCGACCATTTTACTGCCGAAATGGGTGGTCCATATCGCAAACTTTTCGATGTGACCACTTTCAGCACTGTATCGACGGATCGGACGAGGAAGGATGCGAACCTGCCGTTTTCCTTGAGGTACCTTCGTTGAATGTAACCGTGCAGGTTGATAACTGGATGAATCTTACTTGTAAAGCTAGTGGCGTCCCAATTCCGATCATTGAGTGGAAGATGAACGACAAACAACCGGAATCGTACTGCGATTGGATTACGGAGGATGGTATCGGAGAGCTGAGCTGTCGAATGCGGTTGATCGACAGCGGAAACTACACCTGCGTCGCGAGACAGCTGAATAGGACAATTGAATCGGTTCCAACCGTCGTCAAGGTCACAGGAAACGTGTGCAAAGAAGGTTACTTCAACGAAGTTGGCAAGAGGAAAATGTGCTTGAAATGTGTCTGTTCTGGAGTGTCTAGTTTGTGCCATGCAGCGGATCTCTATCGATGGAATGTAAGATCCAAACTTTATTTTTATTTTTTCAAAGGCATAGGAACACAATTTTTTGCAATTTTCAGTACACGATGGCGATGAACGACTGGAAAATGAAGTATGCAACGGTTGTGAACCTGCTATCGTCAAAGTTCAAAATCTATGACCATTTCGAGCAGGTTCCAAAGAACACCACTCCCTACTACTTTCTACCCTTCAGATTTATCCGGTATCAAGTGGGTTCGTATGGAGAACAGTTTCAGTATGAAATTTCAGTAGATAACTCCTCTTACTCAAAAGAGGAACCGGACATCATTTTGAAGGTTTTGATCAATCTCAAAATACCAATATTTCACTTGATCTCATCTGATTACTTTTCAGGGTTACAACACCACCCTACTCTATTCACATAAGCTTCGATTTATCCCAAACCAATCCAATCCGGTAGCGTTTCGATTCAGTGAGATAAGTTTTATCAAACCGGACGGCAAACGGGTAACCCGTGAGGATGTTATGACCGTTTTGGCCTACATTGACACGTTTATGATACGGATGTATCCGGTGAATGGAAATTTTATGCCCGCCAGTACACCGATGGTGATGAATGCCTCGACGGACCTCGGCTACCACGGCCTGGGGAAGGTAACTCGAGTGGAACAATGTCGCTGTCCACACGGGTATCGGGGATCTTCGTGTGAGTGGTGTGACTTTGGATACGATCGAGTGCAGAAATTTTCACGAACCGGAGCCTGCATGCCATGGGAGTGGCATCGGGCGGAATACGAGAAAGTGTCCACCTCGACGACGATGAGGAATTACCATTACGTGTGATTTGTGATGCGGGCTATTGAACGTAAAGATTGCTTTCAAGGATTATGAGATGAATAGAAATAATTAAAACTGTTAATGGTTCAACTATTTTTAAAAGCTCTATTTTAAATCTAATTGTGTCTTTTTTGTCTCTGTTTTTCCGGTGCTTTGAACATTATTCTGAGTTTGATTTACTAAAAGTTTGTCTTTTTTTTAATCCCATACATACATACATTTATTTGTACAACTTCACATTTAAGATAAGACATAATCAACAATAGTACGCTACAATACTCGGTTTGCGGCTGCCGCTCTCCATCCTCGGTCATGCCCAATGCTCGCTAGATCACGCTCTACCTGGTCCGCCCATCGTGCTCTCTACGCTCCACGCCTTCTTGTGCCAACCGGATCAGTAGCGAACGCCAACTTTGCAGGGTTGTTGTCCAGCATTCTTACAACATGTCCTGCCCAACGCATCCTTCCGGCTTTGGCCACCTTCTGGATGCTGGGTTCGCCGAAAGCTCGTGCTTCATTCTGCGCCGCCACTCACCGTATTCCTGCACACAGCCGAAGATCGTCCTTAGCACACGTCGCTCGAAAACTCGGAGTGCTTGCAGGTCCTCCTCGAGCATAGTCCATGTCTCGTATCCATAGAGGACTACCGGTCTTATTAGCGTTCTGTACATGGTACATTTGGTGAGGGGGTGAATATTTTTTGACCGTAGTAGGTACGACTTCCACTGATGATGCGCCTTCGTATCTCACGACTCACATTGTTGTCAGCCGTCAGTAAGGATCCAAGGTAAACGAATTCCTCCACTACCTCGAAAGTATCTCCATCTATCGTGACATTACTTCCTAGACGAATCCTGTCATGTTCGGTTCCGCCTACTAGCATGTACTTTGTTTTTGACGCACTCACCACCAGTCCGACCTTTGCTGCTTCGTGTTTCAGGCGGGTGTACACACAGCTAAAAAAAATAGTGTAAATTTGTATGCAACTGTCCACTTTTGTTTGCAACATGTCTTGCTAGCTGCTAGTTTACGTGAAAAGGAAGTTTACATGTTTTAATGTTTGCATGCATGGATGTTTACATCGCCAGTAAAATTCAGATTTTTTTGGTGTGTAGTTCTGCCACCGTTGCAAATGTTCTTGCGATAATGTCCAAAGCACACAAATTGACCGAATTTCGTGAAAATCGTACCCCGGCTGTTGAGCCCGGCTTGTCGCATCCCTAGTAACAATTTTGGTTTTATGAGGGTTATGTAGACCATGATTTAGACTTGTAGAATGCTATAAAATCTCTATAAATCTTGCAATGTTACTTAGGATTACACCTTCTAGAGCGATGTTGAAGAGTAGGTATGAGAGTCCGTCACCGTTGCTTTGATCAGTCTGATCAGCTTCCCAGGAAAGCCGTTTTCGTCCATGATTTTCCATAGCTCTGTGCGGTCGATACTGTCGTATGCCGCCTTAAAGTCGATGAACAAATGATGCGTTGGGACCTGGTATTCACGGCATTTCTGGAGGATTTGCCGTACTGTGAAGATCTGGTCCGTTGTCGATCGGCCGTCGATGAAGCCGGCTTGATAACTTCCCACGAACTCGGTCATTTTAGGTGATAGACGACGGAAAATGATCTGGGATAGCACTTTGTAGGCGGTATTCAAAATGGTGATCGCTCTGAAGTTCTCACATTCCAAATAGTCGCCTTTCTTGTGAATGGGGCAGATTACCCCCTCCTTCCACTCCTCCGGTAGCTGTTCTGTTTCCCAGATCCTGACTATCATCCGGTACAGTTAGGTAGCCAACTTTTCTGGGCCCATCTTGATGAGTTCGGCTGCGATACCATCCGTACCAGCTGCTTTGTTGTTTTTGAGCTGCTGAATGGCATCCTTAACTTCCCTCATCGTGGGAGTTGGGTCAGTTCCATCCTCTGCTGCACGGACGTAGTTGTTTCCTCCATTGCGCTGATCTCCCGTGCCTACGTTCTCCTCGCCATTCAGGTGCGCATCGAAGGGCTGTCCGTCAAGAGGCTCCCGTCCTTATCCTTGCACATTTCGGCTCGCGGCCCGAAGCCGTTGCGGGATGCGTTGAGCTTCTATTAGAACTTTCGTGTTTCTTGGGAACGGCACAGCAGTTCCATTTCCTCGCGCTCCGCTTCTTCCAAGCGGCGTTTTTTCTTCCGAAAGATGTGGGTCTGCTGTTTCCGCTTCTGTTTATACAGTTCCACGTTCTGTCGGGTTCCATGCTGCAGCATTACCGCCCGCGCTGCGTTCTTCTCCTCCAAAATCGCTCTGCATTCCTCGTCGAACCATTCATTCCGTCGCCTTCTTTCCACGTACCCGATGGCTGCTTTTACTGTACTCCAGCAGTCCTCTAGAGCTCGCCCTTCTCTGGCAACGCTGCCTCGAGATTCTGCGCGTATGCTAAGGCGACATCCGCTTGCTTCAGTCGCTCTAGGTTGTACCGTGGCGGGCGTCGGTACCGTACATCGTTGATGACGGAAAGTTTGACCATCGCCAGGTAGTGGTCAGAGTCAATGTTAGAGCCACGATAGGTCCTGACGTCGATAATGTCGAAGAAGTGCCGTCCATCAATCAGAACGTGGTTGATTTGCGATTCCGTCTGCTGTGGTGATCTCCAGGTGTAACGTCCTTTCCCTTTCGTCAGCTGGTGGGCGCTAAACTTTCCAATCGTCGGTCTGAATTCCTCCTCCTGGCCTACCTGAGCGTTTAGGTCTCCTATGATGATTTTGACGTCGTGGTTTGGGCAGCGATCGTACTCGCGGTCGAGCTGCGCGTAAAATGCGTCCTTGTCATCATCAGTGCTTCCGGAGTGAGGGCTGTGCACGTTGATTATGCTAAAGTTGAAGAATCGGCCCTTGATCCTCAACCTGCACATTCTTTCGTCGATCGGTCACCAACCGATCACGCGCTTCTGCATTTCGCCCATCACGATGAAAGTTGTGCCCAGCTCACGTGTAGATGGTATGATTGCCTCTAAACGTACGCACCATGGATCCTGTCCAACACACCTCCTTCAGCGCTACGATGCCGAATCCGCGGTCCTTCAGTAGAATTTCAGCACCCGATGAAATTGAGAGATCGACAGTTCCACGTGCCGAGTTTCCAATCGCAAGTCCTATTTCGTCACTGGGGTCGTTGCCGTTAGTCTCGGTTCGTATTTCTCTGTTGCTGATTTTCCGTTGCAATGCTTTTTACGGCTGGCTCGCAGGGCCTGACACCAACCCCCTTACTTTCCGGAGGTCCAGGGTGCACAGTTGTGCTTAGAGTCCTTCACTGGCACTCGGACGTAGATCAGCCGCCCCTAACATGGGGAACAGACGCTGTTGTGAGCCGCTCCTCCTGGAGAACAGACGCTCAAGATTGCCGAAGCAAACCAGCCCCCCTCCCTTCCCTGTCAACTAATGACCAAAGTTCCCACCGGGGTTGGTTACCCGATTTTCCCTAAGGTTGCTCACAGTTCCCGGCCGGTACCACGGGGAGGTAGGGATAGGAGTTGCTGGGAAGAGGCTAGTGATCTCAATGGGATCTGTATTGCGCATTACCCAGCATTTACCGATCAGCATTTTTTTAAAACCAATAACCCTTATTTCCTCAAGTCTATGTTCTCACAGAATGCTGCAGAACAAAAATTAGATAATAAAATATTTACTTTCAAAACTGCCAACTTCAGGGGAAAACCGGGAGACCCGAAATTAACCGGGAAATCCCGGCAATTTCCCGGTGAATCCGGATATCCAGAAGGGTGTTCAATAACCACTGCGAGACCAAATCAATATGGCACTGAGATATATCTTCTCAACTAAGAGTTCTTCACATTTTCTTAAGAAACAGATATGTTGCTGTCGTATTTCTTCTATGCTAATGATTATAGGGTAGAGCGCTACTTCGTCGTAATCGCCCATTTCCGTTCTATCGATCAGAAAAGATCAATATTATCAATTATTTCACCGTGCACAAATCAATAATAGGTTTGTTCCGATGCGTTAGTTCATTAGCTACAACATAAATCCTGTTAGAGCGCATTGTATGAATATTTATGCTCATTGTTCTCAAAACAAAAGAAGCGCTCCTAGCGAATCCCCTTTTTCTACGTTTATCCGTAGGACGAAGAAAATCTAATGGCGTTTCAATGCGTTAGGACGGAATTGAAACTCGTAGAACGAATTTAGAATCAAGAAGCAGTGTTAGATTTTAATCAATATCTCAACAATTGGTGACTCTTTATCAAATCCAACGGTACGTATGGAAAGGTGAATAAATTTAAAAGTAATTTTTGACAGAAATATTCCATTTTTTGTTTAAACTCGTTCAGAAGAGAGAGGTAAAGCGCGGGGTGTGCTTAGTAGGACGGAAATTAGATCAAAAACCCTATGCAAGTTAGAAAAAAAATCGCGGATCTCTAGGTCTACTTTCTGGAATTGACTAGTTTGGTTGCAAAATCGATATGGTGATGGTATATTTCCTCTATGCTCATGATTGCATGCAATTTAGAAAAGAAAAAAAATCGCGCAGCTCGGGACTTTTCCGGGTAGATAGTGTAGTTTATTGACAGTTCAGCATTCGCGATGTCAGTATGAAGCCACGTTTCTGTGAAAACCACGACGTCAAAATCACAAGAAAACAGCGAATGGAGCAGAGCATCCGTTTTAGTCCTCAAACCACGAACGTTTTGATAGTAGACGGTCAAATGAGCACGAGTGTTGACGAGAGCAGAAGAAGAGGTATTTGCTACGGCTGGCTCTAATTGCTGTTCGACGGACCTGGATAAGCGTTCAACACTGTATCATTCTCAATAAACTCTCGAAATTCGATTCCTTGAGGCCAAGATAAAGGATCCATAGCTTTCGACTTAGAATTTGAGGCTGACTTCAACCTTGTATGATACGAATAACAGTATCGACAGTGGCTGGCTTCACAACAACTTCATCCACATTCAAAGATTCCTTGGCGAGTTTCACGATGTCTGACTGTGAAACATTGCACTATGGGCAAAAATGGGTCCAAAATTACCCAAAATTCAATATCTCAACAGCACGCTGAATTCCGGCCATGAAAAACGACTTTTCCGAAAGGAAATCGTCCGGGGAATCGATTGCACGTAGTCCCATAGACCGGAGAGCTTTGTAGGTATGTGTTTTGGACCATTTTACTCCATTTTCCCATGCATGGTTTTAGAATACTATGTCTTTAAACAACAGTTCATGAGATATTAGGGGAATACGGGGTACACTTTATAGGGGAGTAAGGGGTAAAAGTGAACCCTCGCTAAATTTATTTTAATTCATAAAAATGTTGAACGATTCGATTGTTTGAATGACTCCAAAGGTTGCCTGCAATACTAACTATCTTGAAATTAAAGTAACTACTCTTAAGTTTTCTGATTTTCCCTAAATTTAATAAAACTCCCCTTAAATCCTCTAAACTTATACGACGTTCTCTGAACTACCCTGAAGCGAGATCTTAAAAGTTTTTGCAGTTTTCTGAAGCTAATGCTTGGAAATTACGGCCCTTGCAACTTGACCCGATATTGATTTTCGTTAGCATTTCATTGTTTTGGAGTGCTTTTCTATTTAGTTTTTATTTACTACACCGGTTTGAATCTACTTATGTGTTTTAAATACTTTTCCAGTGTTATCCCATCATTTTCGCACATTTCAGTCCGATTTTGGGCATATTTGACTTTTAAACGCATTTTTTGTTTTTCAATTTGATCTTTTTTTTTTAGTCTTTAAGGCCATTTTATATTTGTGCTCAATATTTGTGGGTCGCGAATAGTGTATAGAATATCTTAAGGTGGGTTGCCATACTCAAAAGTTTGAGAATTGCTGATCTATTGCTCTAGAACTGAAAATCAAGTCCTAGTCTAAAACCTTTCTCGATTAGCCTAGTTGCATTTTCAAAGGTATAAAAAAAAAACCTAACAGCCTCTTAAATCTTACTCATCTCCAAATTCCCACCGCGCACACCGTCCGCCGTGCATGCTTCAAACGAAACCGTGTGCGGCCGCAATAATGAAGCATTATTGCGCTTACGATCACAGCCTCTTTTTGTGTGTGTATTGGCAACACCTTCGAGGGCCGTGCATGATAGGTATGTTTTCGATTTTAAGTATAATTGGCACGCGCCTTCGCTCAAGTTTCAGCTCGAACGCATCGAACCCCAAAGGTCCTTCAGCGTGTGTCCACCACCACCGCGGAAAAACCGCTAATATCGGTGCTTGTCTCGGGTCTTCTCCGACTGTGGTCTTTATCGATGCTGGTTTTCTGCTACAGAGCCATCGATTGTGGTGGGAGACCCGATCGCACATATTTTTTCGCACCATTCCGAGTGAAGGCGGATAAAGGAAGGTCATAAATTATAGCAGGTTTTGGTTCTGTTGGCTCCAACTGTTACTGCCTCACCATCTATATACAGCGGAGAAGAACGGATGGAAGCTGTAAATTATATTTGTTCGCTCAGTGGCGTACGCGTCCGCTTCTCGGATTAAATAAAGTGTTGTGCTTCATTTCAGCACTGCAGACGTAGACATTGTGGCACAACACTACTAATCAAGTGAGAGACCCAAGGAGCAAAACTAATTAATCTACCTTGGAAATCTCATTTCCACACAATTTCAAAACATGCGACGGCCAACTAGGTCGAATGAATTTGTTTTGGTTCTACCGCGCGAGCCGGGGTCGACCGCTGCCAACCGAGCAGAAGTGGAACACATTCATGCAAATTTTGCTTCTATTTCTCACTTTTCGTGTGTACGTTTATTTGCTGTACGCTGGGGTCCGATCTGATGTCTGCAATCCATCAAACCGGAGGCTCCTTCTGAAGCTAGAAGATTGTAGCGCACAGCTTAGGACCTATTACAAAATCCACAGCCACATTCGTTCCACCAGCGACAGCCAGGGTTGCTGATGGGGGCCACACGGATCTGTTGGACGGCCGGGGAGTATTTACCGACCATAACTTTGGCTAATGTATGCATGTAAAATTCAAATAAGTTTTTTTTTCTTTTTGTTTTCAAGCTACATGGTCTGGTTGTTTTATTTGTGCAGCGACGGATTCGGTGGAGCAACACTCTGTAATAAAGATGTGAGAAATGTGTTATGATGCAATACATCATTTCCGTTATCATGTAGTTATGTTTCTATTTACACTTTGTAGCAAGTCTCCTATGGAGTGTGGTGTTTTCTGTGATTCATCTTACGCTAACCGGGTCATTTTTCTCTCTATTCTTTATAGGTAAAAAGTGGCGCTCGCTAACGCCACAGGATCGCCGGCCGTACGTTGAGGAAGCCGAGCGGCTACGGGTGATTCACATGACCGAGCATCCCAACTACAAATACAGACCCCGCCGTCGGAAGCACACCAAAGCTCGCAGTGGAGCTTCCGTCACCAACGGTGCAGTCGGTAATCAACCTGGAGTGAACAATACTCAAGCCAATACCGTGATTAATTCCTCCCCAAGTGAGCTGAATTTTGACGGCGATTCGTCACAGCGAATGAGCCCGTACAATTACAACCCGCACTACTATTCCGGAGCGAACAACGTCCTGAACACACCAGATTCCAGTCCTACTCAAAGTCCTGAACCTGTACCGCCAACGGTAGTACATGCTTCACATGGTGTCAATAGTAGGAAACTATCTGGTAATTCGGTGGATGTTAGTCAGAAAATCGACGACGTCTCATCTGCGCTACCCACTCCGGAAATGAGTCCCCTTGAGCTAGAGAAGGAAGGTTACAATGGACTTCATGCAAGCTACGATGATCTGAAGAGCAAGCAAAAGTTGACCTACGATGGTTACAACAGTGTAAAAGCTGAACAAAAACTGCCTGCCACTTTTCCGAACAGCTACGATCATGACACCGACATAAAGCGAGAATACAGTTCCGCTCCATCGTACATGCATTCCGGACCCCCGGAAAAACGATACCATTATGAAGCATCTCTACCGAATGGTGTACACGATAGACGGAACTACCTTGTTCCTAGCTCCGGAGCGACAACTACCACCGCTATGGTGAACGGAATGTACGTCATGTGTACAAACCGGAGTATCCTAGATCAAGGTCATATTGTTACGGGAACATACTTTCCACCGTTAGCCACTTCCGAGGATCATCAAACCTTGGGAACCACCCTGACCACCAGCCATGTGTCGCATCTCAGTACAAACAGTAATAGCAGTAGTAGTAATCATAACCACAGCAATAGCAACAACAGTAGTAGCAGCAATGTTCCAATTTCCAGTGGCAATAGTCTGAACAAACCGAGTAATGGCCTAGTGAGCAGTGTTCATATCGGAGGCAGTCCAGGTTCCCATCAAGTCGCGCAACAAGCCACTCACCAGGGCTCCGGCTTAACAGCAGAACAGATCAACAGCTACTACGGAGTTAATTCAATCTCTTCCGGACTGCCAGCCTATTCGTATGCCTACAAAGACTACGGCATAACCTACGAACCGGCCTCGATGAGTCAGGACGAGATGGATACTCGCGAGCTCGACAAGTACCTGAAGTATCCGGACAGCAATCACAACTTTAACAGCTACGAATCATACCACCATGGTGGTGCCATCTACGGACATCCACAAGCGACATCGGACTACTACAACTACCACCAGCAGAATGCCAGCCTCTTGGCTCAGCAACAGCAACAACAGCAGCAACAACAACAGCAGCAACAGCAGCAGCAGCAGCAGCAACAACAGCAACAACAACAACAGCAGCAACAACAGCAACAACAGCAGCAGCAGCAACAACAGTCCCAGCAACAGCTTTCGTTGGGTTCGTCCTCGCCGGCGGGAAGTAATCCTGGGAGCAACTCCAGCACCGGTGGTTCGAGTTCCAGTGGACATCTACCGACGACACCGGTGGCCCTGTATGCGCTACCGTTACAACATTCTCAGCTGACAGCGGCACAACAACAGCATCATCATGTGCAACAGGTGCACCTGGCTCATGGGCCAAATGCGCATGGTATGACCGACATCTATGTGACGAGTGAACAGTTAAAAGACGATGAGTTTAGTAATATTTTGGCCGGCGTCAGGAAAACGTGCTACAGCAACTAGACTGTGAGGGTGGGAGATGGATGGATGTATGTTTGGACAATGTGACACAGGAGATGATAATGAGGAGCTGGCTAGTTGTCTCCTCTTGAAGAGCAGAAGATCGATCTTCCAGGTGACGGGTTTCCGCAAAGGTTTCACGTACTGTTTTATAAATGATAATTTGCTGATATCAAGACAAACAATTGAAATGGCCTCAACTCCATTTTGTAAACAAACTTTGTAAGGTCATTTTATCGTGAACCAAAGTTCGCCAATGCAAACCGACCAAATTAACAGGTAGGGGAAATTCTCCTCCACTCGATTGTGTGTCAGGTATGAGAATGTAGGATTCGGTTCGCGAGAAAATGGCCTCACAGCAAAAAAATAATTTTGATATCACATCAAAGTGGATGCACTACAATCATGTCGAAAATTTCATGTAATTTTTATGACCACATAAATAAACAAATGCAGTAAAAGCAGCGTAATGTCAGTTCATGCATTGTATTAATGATAATTTTGTCCTTTTAAGCAAGTAATATTACACCATATTTTCGACATGATTGTAGTGCATCCACTTTGACGTGATATCAAAATTATTTTTTTGCTGTGCTTACAAGGTTTGTTTTCAAATTGGAGTTGAGGCCATTTCAATTGTTGGTCGTGATAGAAACCTTTGTTAGCACGTTAGGGCCAATTTGACGTGGTATGCGGTGACAGGATAGATCTTTTATCATTTTCGATTATACTTGCACTACTCCGGTGAAGTGTAAAACCGTACAGGGTGTAGACATTTGGTGTATCTTTGTCAAAAAAATATTGCATTTGTGCTTATTGGCGTTTGTGCACTGGTGTGCACTGATGTACCAAATAGGGGAAATGACGGCTTCGGCATGACAGAATATTTTCGGCAACCCAAATTGAAACACTATTTTCACTGGATTTTCTTACGAAAACACTTCGCTGAATGCATGCAAACGATTCTTTATGCTTTCAGCTTCAATTTGACTATATTTTTACCACTGAGAAAAAGCAATCTAGCAAGGTTTTTTTGAAATGCAACACACGTATTACAAATTGTAGCTGATTTCGAGTTGCCGATAATAGAACAGCAGATTTACATGCAGTTCAAATGGAACGGTTGCCGAAGAAAAACTGGTTGCCGACAATACTCGCTCGCACTAGAGAAGATTGGAGCTTTGTAAAAGCGTCTCAAAACAGTTTTTGACAATTCTTTCGACTGAAATTGTTAGAGTAGCTGGCAGCAAAAGATTGTAAACAAACCAATACTGCATATGTGTGCGTTCCATGGAGAAAAAGGCTATAGAAAGAAGGTCGCTGCTTAGGTTGCCGAGAATACGTAAATCCCCCTATTAAATTGTTCATAACATGTGTTTTAATAACCATTTTTTTGTGATTTTTCTATGAATACCTTGCATTCTGATGCCGTTTATGAAAAAAAATGGTGGGGTTGTGTACAAGACACGACCGCAGGGTTAACGTAGACTACGTTAAGCTGTGTAGTGAAGTTCTCGTGCATTTTTTCTAGATATTGATTTAAAATACAGTAGAAATAGCCTTTGATTTAGGTCCTATGTACATATTTTGAATTTCCTACTTAGTAAAACTTGGAAAATTTCAGGACCGCATAAAAATGCGAATACATATTCTATTAAATTTGGTTCCTAAATTACAATCAGATATGAGTAAGGCTTTCTTCAAGTGATTCATTGAAGTGTCCAACAATGACCGTCATGATGGCTGATATTCTCTATCACTTCAAGATTTCTAGGACACAAATCTTGGACGGTTGTGACATCACTCATGAAATTGAAACTCCTTGTGTACTGGACTGCAACAAACGTGAAGTTCCAGTTTCTTTGTTATAAGTTTTGTGAGAGATCTGTACTCTTGAAATTTTTCTATGGTAATGCGATTGATCCAAAGCGATTCAACTTCAAAACGCTAAAAATAAATACACACACAAAAACGGAGTGCACAATTTTGCATCAATTTTTTTTTTTTTTTTTCCTTTGGTTTGTTTTTTCCGTCGATCTTGTTTTCCGTGCTGAGCACCAATGCTACCGACGTGCCAGGAAGGCAGCTCCCACACCTGGACCCTACCTATCGACCCATCAACTCATGAACCGGGGACCAACGGCTTTACTTCCCATCCGAAGGAAGGCGTGATCAGAGATGTTATGCCTCAGAACATCCCGGCGGCGCCGACTGGGATTGAACCCAGGCCTGCTGGGGTGAGAGGTAATCACGCTTACCACTACACCACCGGCGCCGTTATTTTGCATCAATGTTATGCAACATTTTATAGTTGATCGAGATGATATCAATTAGCCATGAAAAGAGATGAACTAGCCTCAGGCTAAAAATCTCTAAAATAAAGATTAAAAAAAAAAAAAAAAAAAATTAGCCATGAATCCCTCCAATAAGTTCTCGGTACATCTTTTATCTACCGATTGAATAAATAAAAAAAATACTACGGCTGTGTTCCATTTGGAAAAATTTCACTTAGATTTGACATTTTGAAAATAAATTAATATCTTTAAGAAATCCCTCTGTTGTACATCGGCCGATTTTCGAGAAAGCGTCTGTCTAATTGATTCCTTGTCTGTCAGAAATAATTCTGCTGGAATAGCAGGTTTATTTGAAAATTTTCCATCTGTCAAATTTAAGTAAAAAATCACCAAATGGAACACAGCCTTAATAACTTGAGCACAGAATCGTTTCTTGTTGTGTTTGTCGTATTAGATGCTAGATAAAAACTTCTTTTATCGATATGTGTGCTGAAAATACCTGGGCCGAGTGGATTCAAGGAGAAAGTCGACGAAAAGAATCTTGTCAGTGTTACTTAGGACCTAATGCAATGTTCAACTTGAATTAATCATTTCGTCCGACCACTTTCCACAGAGATGGCGCTGTTCCGCTGGTAGGAAGTGATAAAAATCCCCATATAGAAATTGAGAGAAGTGGGAGTAATTCGCTTTCGGTGTATATTCAGTTCAAAAAAAGTGAACGACAATCTAAAGAAATTAGTCAGGGACTTTGTCGTTCACTTTTTTCCCGGAATGTATTGTTAAACAAGCTACAACTAAAAAAAAACGATTTTCCCCATACAGTTTTACCTGCGTAACTACCAGTCCCCAGAGAGCCAACAAATTCAAATTTGAGAGAGAAAATTTGCTCTCACAACCTCAATCTCTCAACATGCCATGTATTTTGATGACACTCGATTTGTCATTTCCCCTTCACAGATTACAAAATAGAGTACCTGACACTACAAAAGTTTTTTTTTTTTTTTTTTACCAGTTAAATGATCTTTATTTCTTGTGTTTGTGTGGTTTACATGTATGAATTTTTTAAGTGACACAGATGCGTCTTTTCAACTTTAGTACAGTGAGCTTTTAATTATTATTTACAGTTTCTAGTCCTATCAGGCCTATTTTAAAGTATGACCACCTTGGTGGGATTGGTATGATTTGAATTGGAAAAAGGAGTCTACTTATAACTACTATTTACAACTACAACTAACCTACAACTACTATATACACCTAACCTACTATATACAAATTGCTTATCAAAGCATGTTCTGATAAATTACATTTTTGTGCAAATTTAGTCTTAATTTCGTTAATTTTGGAATCTATTTTGGCAATGCCTGCCTCTTCATGTAAATTTGTTATTCTAGTGTCGAAAGGACGATCAAGAACCAGCCTCAGCACTCTATTCTGAGCGACCTGAATTTTGTTCCTGTGAGTCTGTGCACATGATTCCCACACCGGAGCTGCGTAGAGGATCGCAGGTGCTATGATTTGTTTGTAGACGGCCAGTTTGTTCACCCTTGAGAGGCGGGATCTGCGGCAAATCAGCGGATACAGACACCTAACCAAGGTAGAACACTTGACTACAGTTTTCTCTACATGCGAACGGAAGAGGAGCTTTTCATCGATTAACATCCCGAGATAGGTTACTTCGGCAGACCACTCAACCCTTGTGCCATCCATGATTACAGTACAAGATGGAGCCGGTTTCAGTTTGGGCGATTGCCGATGTAGGAACATGATCGCTTGTGTTTTGGAGGGATTGATTTTAATTTTCCACGTGGTGGCATAATCAGCAAAGGCGTTAAGGCATCGTTGAAGTTTGTTCGTTATTTCGCGAGGCATCCTTCCTTTGACGGCTATTGCGGTATCATCTGCGAACAGGAAGAACACGCAACCGTCTCCAAGGGGAGGAATGTCGGAAGTATAAATGCTGTAAAGCAAGGGGCCCAGCAGACTGCCTTGCGGCACTCCTGCTGGGATGGAAAACGTGTCGGAAAGACAACCATTCAACGATACCTTAAACGACCTTTGCTGAAGGTAGTTACGGGTGATTTTAACCAGATGTAATGGGAAGTTGAAGTTACAAAGCTTGTACACAAGTCCGTCATGCCAAACATTGTCAAACGCCTTTTCAACGTCTAACAAGGCCATGGCTGTGGACTTGGATACAGCTTTGTTACTTCGGATGTTATTCATCACCCGCACTAGCTGGTGATTGGTGGAGTGCCCCTTTCTGAACCCAAACTGTTCCGGAAGGAGAATGTTATTTTCCTCGACAAACTTGAGCAAACGATTGAGAATGAGTTTCTCGAACAATTTGCTCAGCGCTGAAAGGAGGCTGATTGGTCTGTAGCTTGAAGGCAATGTTGGATCCTTACCGGGTTTGCGGATTGGTATGATTTTTGCTACTTTCCAGATACTTGGAAAGTAGTGTAGTTCCAAACATCTGTTGAAGATAGCGGTTAGAAGAGACTGCACTTTCATGCTGAGTCTCTTCAAGATCAAGTTGAATATACCGTCAAACCCGGGAGCCTTCATGTTCTTGGTGCATTTCAGCGCTGAGCAAATTTGTTGTACTGTAATCATATCCGCCGGAGGCACGACACAAGGGGAGGCATCTAGGTTTTGAACGCATTGCGCAACCTGATCTTCGAGCGGACTTTGGATATTCGAGCCAAGCAAATGCGATGAAGCGACATGCTTGCCGATCGCATTTGCTTTCTCCTGTGGGGTAATTAAAAGCCGATCGTCATCATTTTCGACTTTGAGAGGTGGAACGGGTTTGGGATGATTTTTCAGGACCTTGGCTACCTTCCAGAATGGTCTGGAGCGGTCGTCCAGATTCTGGACAACACGCCCGAAACTTTCATTTCGGAGTGAGTCCATTCTGGAAGCAATCTGTCTGTTCAGATCAGCCATTTCACGTTTTTTGCCCAGATCTCCAGTCCTCTGAAACTGGCGTCTACGAACATTTCTCAGGCGAATCAAAAGTTGGGTGTGGGAATCAATGGCAATAAACTTACCCCTCACAGGAACTCGTCGGACGCACGCCTCGTCAGCCACGGTTATGGCTTGGTGGAGTCCCTCCAACGCTCGGTCGATGTCCTCCACGGTGTCAAGCGGCGGGTTGTCGATGATGTGCCTGTCTACCACGCGTCCAAACTGGGCCCAGTTAACGCGATGGTAGTCCTTGCGCAGGCTTGAAGCAGGAGCCACGTTGCAGCCCAGTTCAGCCACCACCGGTTGGTGGTCGGAGCTGAGTTCGTTCAAGGCTACCGGCTTGGACAAGCCGATATTTGACAGGAACAGGTCTAGCGTCGATGGGTTGCCTGCCGGTGAGATGAATGTTGGCTCGTCCGAGAACCAAACGGAGTACAGCCCATGCTGCGAATGGTCGAACAGCAGACGACCGTTCTGGTTCTGCTGGTAGTTCCGCCAGGCCTCATGGCGAGCATTCAGATCTCCTCCAACTACGAAGCGGGAACCGGTACGGGTGATGGTGGACAGGTCCTTCTTGAATTTAGCCGCTAGTCCACTGCTGGCGGCACACTGTCGAGGGCAGTAGACGGCGATGAACTGGACGTATCCAGTCGACGACTCCACCTCCACACCAAGGGCCTCGATGATAGAGGTGCGGATATGGAACAGAGTGTGGTATTTTATT